TCTTTCGAAAAAGGCGACGAGGTGCTGAAACTACGTTACCTTATCATGGTAGCTTTTGCCGATGTAGGTTTAGATAAATTGCCTCCAGCCCACGTAGAGTTACTCAAGTACGATGAAGGTGATCAGGATTATGTCCCTCTGCCTCTTGATACAATACTTGAGAAAGATATAAACGTTAAAGTGGAGCTTACAGAAGACGAGGTGAAGTGTACTGTCTTATATCTATATATGTTTTGAATTAATCTTCCATGTTTTCCGTTATTTTCTTTCTGAGAAAATAGCGAAATCCAAAATGCGCACTTAAAGTCGTTATGTGACGTCACATGACGTCATGACGAACGAACAAAATACTCGTCCTTAATAAGCTTGAATACCAAGCCTTAGGATTTCCATTAAACAGAAACGAATTTTATCTGTATGATTACAACGAGAACCCAAGAGAGGAGTTCTCACCCCCTCTTTACCAGGGTGGGGTATGAGTTGTAAATTGTACGCTAAACAAGCGGGATATCTAAACGTCTGCGTTAGCATAATCAAACTAAATAAAAATGCGTTTGCAGGCCAAATATCGTTCATTTGTAGTGCTACCATATGGTTTGTAAGACATTCAAGGAATTTAAAGCCGTATCAGCTTGAACTAAATCGTGAGTGTGATTAACTCTAAGTGAAGTGTTGATAACTATGTTAACTATTATAAAAGTGGTATTTTTTTTATTACTATTGTTAACTAAGGATAAAATAACCTATCAGTTAAAAGTGTCCATGTAAAAGTCTCCATGTAAAAGCGGTGTGGTAGATCTGGCTTGAAATAGAGATTTCGCTTATTTCTTGTGTGTTGCAAGACATTCAAGTACCTATACTAAAACCACAATCTGTTGGACCAAGAGAAACTTTCTGCACAGACACACACACACGGAAAAAAATACAACTGCAAACGCGGCTTTTACCTATACACTGCGATCTATCTTGATGATGTGCTTAACCGACTTTTAAAAACAATGAGTTCGAATTAAGAGATCCGGGAGAGGGATTTTAACGACACCCACAACCCGAGAGGGGGGGGGGGGGGGGGGGGGGGGGGAAGTAAAAAGGGAGAAAAATTGGGTGGGGGTGTGTGGCCTGCTCCAACAAACGTTACCCTATTTAAGACTAAAATCTGTGATTTTCCCTACCCTATCAATGACCTGACCCTTAAATCAATACCCTGTTTTGGACCTNGGGGGGGGAGGGGAAGTAATTCCAGAAAAGTTGGGTGGGGGGTGTGCGGCGCACTTCCCAAAACCCTTACCCTATTTATGACTAAAATCTGCAATTTTCCCTACCCTATTTATGACCTGGCCAAAAATTTGATACTCTATTTATGACCGTTGCGGCTGGCACAGTTGCCCTAAACATAAGTTATGAAAGGCTTTTGTTGACGGTCTTATTGATTAATGATGAAAAAGCAGCTTGGTCTAAGAAACATAGCCAATTCAAGACTAGAGTGCTAAAACCATACCCTATTTAAGTCCAAAATGGCCAAAATCGATACCCTATTTATGACCAAAACGGCTGAAAAACCCTACCCTTTGGGGCCGCACATACCTATATAGCCCAAATAAGGGACAACCCCACCCCTCCGGGCCTATATATATCGTACACTTGGATGGAACACGCAGAAACCGGATCACATTCAAACTGTAATTTGGAAATTTAAAAAGCGAGGCCTTATATTCCTGTCAATCCAACACACTCTAAAAGTTGATACAATATACTAAGAAGCTCACTATTGCAAAAACCT